GTTTAATCGTTTAAATAATGCTTTGAAGCGAATATTATGTATGTAAAAGTGATGCGATTTTGTATATTAAGTGTCTACGCATGTGAACTATTAAAGAAAACGACGAAACAAGTGATTTGATGTTCATATACACTTTAAGTTATTTTGATGGCTTAGAACTAACTTAAACTTATGAACTTGGGTGACTGTCGTCATTGCCTGTCCGCTGGATTAAGCTGTCGTCAAAATCTCCCAAAAACTTCATAATGTGACGCATCGGTGTATTGCGAAGAAAATATCTAAAAAAACGAATATCCCGAATGTTAAGAAGACATGGCTTAAAGAATAAGCTTCCAAGTCTTAATAAATAATAAAACGTACTCGATGCCTTCGTTATCGTCCTTTCTTACTCGAGGCCACGCTAATCATTAGTTTTGAGGCTGTTGTCGGAAGAAATAAATGTTAAAAATAAAAATGTAAAACAAAAATACCTATTATTTTTTAAATTAATGGGCTACAAATATACTTAACATTGTTGCCAGATAATTAATTTAACTACACTTAATTTTGAGGTTGCCACAGGTATTTGGCAGTCGACTTTACTGAATCCACCTATTTGGATCCTTTAGTGGAATTCAGTACCAGCTTCTTCCACTTGACCGCATCCAGCGCAGAGCGGCTCGAATCGTCGACGACCGAGTGCTTTCCGATCGGCTCGATTCACTAGCTCTGCGAAGAGATGTTGCATCTCTTTGCATGTTCTATCGCATATACTATGGGAAGTGCTCTGAGGAATTGTTCAGATTAATTCCAGCCGCCAAATTTCGTGAACGCACTACGCGACAAACGTCCCGATACCATGTACACCATCTGGATGCCTGGCGGTCCACCACTGTACGTCTAACAAGGAGTTTTCTTCCGCGTACGATCTCTCTGTGGAATAGTTTACCACCGGCGATTTTTCCGGACCGATACGACCTGGGGACTTTCAAGAAAAGAGCTTACTCCTTTCTAAAGGGCCGGCAAGGCACCTGCAATTCCCTTGGTGTTGCGGTTGATCATGGGCGGCGGTAGTCACTTAAAATCAGGTGAGCCACTTGCTCGTATGCTATCTCTTCTATAAAAAATGAAAAGATTTAAAATTTAAACAATTTTCGTCACAGTTCAGTTTAATTAATACCTCTGCTTTTATTAAGTCAATAGCCATACGATTTCTCATCTTTAGTATATAAATTATTTAGTAAACAAAACACGCTTTCACAGTAAACATTGCTTACAGAAATTGACGACACAAATTTATTTTAGGTTATTTTAAATTATTATTGTCTATAGAACCTTTCGAGAAATAGAAATAGAAACTTTTTCATTCAATGTAGATTATAACAATACTTATTGAAAGTCACTTTTTTCATTTACCACTGGTTCGCAAAAAAAGCGTCAGTCCTGGGAAGAACCAGCAAGTTACCCAGCGGGACTATTTTTTTCCAATAATAGCTTACAATCATGTTTACAATCAACAATACAAGACAAATTAGAAATAGCTTGGTAGCGATCACCATTCCCAAGGGTTATTATCATCCATAAATTCCTTAATATTATAATAACCCTTTTTATACAAACTTAGTTTAATAACATTTTTGTACTTTGTGTATGACAAACTTTGTATATTTTCTGGGATTTTGTTGTAAAAGCGTATACATCGCCCCAAGAATGAATTACTGACTCGGTGGAGTCGAGTAACTGGTACTACCAGCTTGTGTCTGCTCCTAGTATTTACAGAATGAATATCACTTATTTTCGCAAAACTACTTTTATTTTTGTGTACGTACATTACATTTTCATAAACGTATTGAGAGGCCAAAGTTAATATATTAATTTCCTTAAAATTTTGTCTCCGTGACTCTTTTGGTTTTAAATTATATATTGCTCTAATGGCCTTCTGTAAAATAAATATAATTTCAGTGTCAGTCGCGTGTCCCCATAGCAAAATACCATACGACATAATGCTATGGAAATAACTAAAGTAAACTGTTCTAGCTGTTTCAACACTGGTAAGAGTTCTAATATTTTTTACAGCATATGCTGCAGAACTAAGTCTGCTAGCTAGTTTTGATATATGGGGGAGCCATTGAAGCTTTGCGTCCAGTGTAATTCCAAGAAAAATGATGGTATCAACAAGACTCAGTTCCTCCCCATTTAAAATTACATTAGTATTGACATGTTTAACATTAGGAGTAACGAATTTCATACATTTAGTTTTAGTTCCATTCAAATGCAAATTATTAACATTAAACCAATTGACTAACTTAGATATAGCATTATTTACTTCGTCGTAATTTAATAACTGTCGTTTTAATTTGAAAATTAATGAAGTATCATCAGCAAATAATACTATATCATGGTTATCCCCTAATATGTAAGGTAAGTCATTAATATATACAAGAAACAGAAAGGGGCCGAGAATTGAGCCCTGAGGCACGCCCATTTATGCAATCGAGCCGAAAGAACTCATACTATTAATGACAACTTTTTGTGTTCTGTCACTTAAATATGAAATAATAAATTTAAGAGCATCGCTTCTTACACCGTAGTGTTGAAGTTTCCTGATTAATGTTTCATGGTGAACACAATCGAAGGCTTTGGATAGGTCACAGAATACACCCAAAGCATCATGTGAATTCTCCCATGCATTAAATATATATTTAATCAGCTCAACACCAGCATCAGTTGTCGAGCGACCCCTTGTGAAATCTAATTGATTTTTATGAAGTAAATTATTTACATTAAAAAAAATTAACAATTGATCAAGAAAAATTTTACTAAGTGTTGGCAGTACAGAAATAGGTCTAAAAGTAGCTGGATCCAATGTACTACCAGATTTAAATAAAGGTATTACTTTACTATGCTTCATTAACCTCCTGACGACCAGGAAGCCTAAAGTTTAAGTATTTTCATGAAACTTCTATGGGTTATTATTTAAAGCATAAGTATTTAGGGAAAAATAGTGAAAAAAATCCATGTCCGGAAAATCTAGCTTTTCCTTATGTTCTTTATAAAGTACAATTGTAGCTAATTTAGATGTACTTCTAGTAGGACATAAGCGTTACATCTGATTTAAACCAGCTAGACTTTCGTAACATTGCGTATGAATTTAAAAAATAAAACGTAAAAAAAATGTTGAAGCACAATTTTTAATAAATCTTTCAAAAACTTAACGTCTTGTTCATTTACTCTCTTAAAAAGGAGATAAAAAAATAGTATTCTTACTCTTAATATGTTTTCAACTAACACTATATTTGAGAGATCAATGTTAACAACTTAAAGTTTATCCTTATCTTAATAATTGAATAATCAGCCTCAAAATAAGAGATCTTAAGTGAAAAAAACAAAGCTTCTAAAAATCAACAAGAATAAAATTAAACAAAATTAGAAATCATTCCTCAACTATCTCATGAAAACTTGCAAAGCAGTTTCTGTTAGGCACGAAACATAGGTACACTTCACATCTTTTGCAGAAGACTGTGGTCTTTTTGTCGCAAGATTTATTTCTGCATCTTGATTGATTTGGTCCATAATCAGGCATATGATATGCTTTCTGAAGGCGTCTTTGCTTGGATGGAACTGGTTTGATCATAACTTTGCGCTTCTTATGTTTTGGTTCCAACTCTTTCAGTTGGTCTGGATTACTCTCGCTATCACTCTCCGTGTCATTATCTTCAATCAGCTTGGTACCCAAGTTAAGCTTATAATCTCGAAGTTTCCATATAAGGGCCCTGTTTGTGTTTTTTTTTCTAACTCTGTAGCTCGATATTGGAACCACGAATTGACAACCGCCAAATCAAAGAGATGTGATATCACTCTTACAGTCCATTTGATAGTCCTGCTTCGTGAGAGGCACACAGACAGGATGCGATCAGCGAGGTCCACTCCTCCCATATTTTGATTGTATTTTTTAATGACTTCCGGCCTTTTTACTCTTTCGTAGCCTTTCTTCTTTTTTGACCATCGCTCACAGTCATCTTCATTTTTATTGCTATAGAGAGAAGACATCATCATCACGGGCTTGTTGTCAAGCCACATTGTTATTGCAAGTTGGCCGTCTTCTCGCACCTTCACTTCACTTGAACCTCGTGGCAGTTTCTTGAATTCTTTTTCTGGCGTCAACTTACAAACTTTCGGGATTCTTCCTCTCTGTATAGTATCAGTTCCATGAAATCATCTTTTGATTAATTCGTCGCACAACTTCACCGAGGTGAAGTAACGATCAAAGTATAGGGAATGCCCTGGGACTAGAGTTCGCGTAAGATGTAGGACGGCTGATTCACCCAATCCAAACCCTTGAGAGTTAAGCTCTAAAAAAGTTTTGTCTCCTTGATAAATTATCATATCACATACAATACCTTGTGGTAACGCAAGGACAAACATTTTGATGCCAACTGGGTTTGGCTTGTTTGGACAATATTGTCGCATGTGGCATCGCCCACTGAAAGGAATTATCATTTCATCGATGCACATATCTTGTGGACGATCTTGTTGATGGCAGCCATTCAAAATACAATCAAATAATGGTTTAACTTTCCAGATTTTTTCCTCTTTCTGCTCCGGAGTAACATCAGCATCGTATACACATTTTAATTGCGTCCTGATAGCATAAAATCTGGTTCGAGTCATGGCTAAAGCAATAATGTTCACTCTGTATTTTCCTGACCAATACATATTGATTTGGGGATATTGGAGGGCAGACATAACCATCGTTATTCCAAGGAAAACTTTTAGTTCTTTTATTGTTAGTCCCAGTATTTTTCCTTTATGCAATATGTTGGTGCTATTTGTGCAATCAGTAATGGTAGTCAGGATGTAATCAGTAATATATTGTTCGTAGAATGATTGCCACTCCCAATCAGTGGAATCTACGACCAGGTAAGCTGGTTGCATTAAACTTTTGGCTTCTGGCTCAAACGCATCTGCTGACCATTTATCTAGTGACTCACTGTCATTTTCAGAGCTTCCGCGAAGTGTGATTACATAGGATTTGTAAGTGAACGACCTCTGCTTGGTCGTCTGCTTTGTGCTCTTCCTCGTGACCTTGGAGCCCTGGAGTCAGTAGATAACGTAGGTGAAGGTGCAGGGTAATCTGATTCAGTAGCATTATCTGAATCATCCGAGTCTGTAATGTCCGTATCGGAATCATTAGCACCATTTGCAACAACATGACAGTCGAGTTCCGGAGGTTTGAAGGTCAGATCACAATCTGAATCATCGCCCGAATAGTCGAATTCAGATTCATTTAGTGCGTCAGCGATATTTTCATCATTCATGGCTGAAATAAAAGTGAGAACTCATAAATAATCCCAAAAGTTTTGCAATGTACTTTGTACAGTACGTGGGTAGTTAGTAATGCAAAACTTTGATTTGCGACCCTTGTACTTTGCAGAGGACATAAAAATGTTTGAGGTTATAGTGTACTGAATTTTGCAAGTTTCCCATAAATGTAGGTACAAATCAAACAAATAATCTTATTTTAGGTAAAATATACAAAAATAGTGCATAATATCAAACACACATTAGAGATTAACATGGATAAACTTACGTCTGTGCGAGCGCGCTCCTACTTCACTTGCTTTGGACGCCATTTTTAATGAAATGACAGATGTGACGGAGTGCAATATGGACGAAAGTTACTCAAAAAGAACTAACAGATGGCATTGCAACATCAAAAAAGGGTTGCCATTTCAAACATTTTTGGTTGAATTTTTAAATTTCTATGTACTACAGTACGGTGGTAGTCAAGAGGTTAAACCACACCCACCAGATTCGATACTAGTATTAAAAATAATAGATAGTTGAGGTGCGATTGTATCTATTATAGACGCACTAACTTTAACAGAAATCCCCCACAGATCGGCGGTTCTCTTAATATCAATAGTCTTAAAATATTTTGCAATATCTTTTGATGACACTTTATGAAATGTAAAATTCTTCATTTACATTTTGTTTAAGTAATAATTCGGCGACGGCAGGAGAAGAATTCAGTGACTTAGTGGTTAAGAACGGAATATCAGTAAACTGAGAAAAATCGAGGAGCTGATTGTGGGGAGATTTTGAATTTTGTCGGGAGTCGGGAGATCATTTAAAATATCAGGAGATTCCAGACGAATCCCGACCATCTGCAACCCTAATGACAATTGACAAAAACAATTTTATTTATAAAGAATAAGGATGCTCGATGTTGCAGAAACATAAATGATGACATCGATGTTGGCAGCGATAACTCAACATCGAATTTCGATGTTTATCCTACTCAAAACTTCGGTGTTGAACATTATCGATGTTTTTTGCACATATATTTCATAGTATAGAATTAGATAAATAAAAAATAGATATTTCGTTTACGGTATATTTTTAATGATATAAAAGAAATTAATAAACAATGTACTTAGTTCAAAATATTCATTAAAAAATTGAAAGAACTTCACAAATATCTATTTACAGTCGAATAGCTTTTGCTATTGATTGAAGAGATAGTAATTTTGACAAAGAAGTACCTTTCAATCTGTTTCTCTGTTGATAAAGAGTTGAGCTGGCCTTTGGAAATAATCTTAGTAGTGAGAATTGGGGCTTCTGCGCAGTGGCGAAGCTAGAGCTCCAAGCTAGGGCAAGCCCAAGATATAAATTGTAAAAAATGAAAAACTACTTTTACGGCAAAAACACGATGCAGGATGCTGGAATATTGATATAAATATTTCCATGGGTGCGCCAAAATAAAAAGTAAAAAAACCACATCTTCCGTAAAAATCATTATAAAAATATAGATTGTTGTTTTTAGCAGTTTTATAAAAATACCCCAATCTTGATCTGTCTCCACGCTTCAGTTTCATATTCAGTGCTGTGCAAGTGCAAGGACATGTTTAACAAAGCACACAGAAGGCATACCACTGCTAGATAGATTGTATTACATATCAGCAACTACATAGCTTCGGTGGCTTTGAAGAAAGCCGTTTGGGTTTGTTTAAGCGAAAGAAAAAAATATTTACATCCAATACAATACATGAACAAAAGTAAAACACGAACAAAGTACAAACAAACTATGTACAAAATTAAAAAAATATTATTTACATTCTAATGGATAAGAGATAAGATAAGATAAGTGGAATCGTCTCGGCCTTTCTTATGGAAATATTTAATTACGTCCACGTAAAATGTTGGTGAACGTTTTAATTGTACCAATAACTGTTTTTAATTGCGATAATTGATAAGTCTGAAATACACTCTTAACCTTGTGTATTATCTCAACAAAGTTTAAAGATTTCCTCTCCGATTATCACTTTAACACACTTCAATTCATCACAAAGAACACTATTATCCTCCATTTTCATTAAAAATCTTTAAAAAAGCATAAATTTTGAACTCGTAATATTAAATCGCTTAAGATAAATAAGCACACAGAGTAAATAAACATTGAAACCTGAAATGAACTTGCAAAAGTATTGCCCGCGCGCCTCCGCTTTTAACAAATTTATTCCCAAAAGCCTGGCTTTAAATCTCTATACTAATTGCTATATCACAATCGTAGTTATATTTCATTATAGAATATTTTGCCATAGGTTAGAACGAGAGCGATCGTCTTCTCGAAAGCCCCGTAAAAAGCCCACGCGAGCGAGGGAGAACACTATTAGCTCTATTAAAACTCATTTTTTATGACAGCAGCAGTATCGCCAAGGCAATACGAGGTCATCGGTCGACATGTGTCGAACAGTGGAGTGCGCGGGAAATTTGAAATAGCTTGAAACATTTTACGAGTTATTTTATTAGTTGATATTATTGATTGATTCAGGTTTAATAAGGCAAGCCCGGCTTTTCGGCTTTAATGGAAGCTTCGCCACTGCTTCTGCGTCACTTGCTCTCGCTTCGCTCTAGCTACATGCCACTGAAGGCCCCAATTCTCTCCATTAGATGTCTAAATTTTTAAATCTAATTCTCGAACCTTTTTTTTATCTTTGCTCCATTTCTAATACCGTTTCATTCGAAATCTCAAATACAAATGATTCAATAATATAACAACAAAATATGAAAGCAAATCTATTTCATCGTTAAAAATGCAAGGTAGTACAAAAAAAATAGTTACTTTAATAATAAGTACTAATCGTTAGCGGTCTGAAACTATTTTTTTTTCTTCTCGAACACAAATGTATTTTAAATTAAAATAGGAAGTGTTTATTTACATATATTTTATTGGAAATCAAACAATCATTTTATTTTCAAAACACCCGTTCTTAATACATAAAACATTTTTTAACGCACATATTTTCTTGTGAGTAAAACAGTAGAGTATCTTTACAATAAAGTTCACAAAGAGTATTTAAATTGGGAGCTCCTAAGCAACTTACATCTATGATAGTATTATTTTCATCACAAATATCTTGCACCCATTTAATTTTTTCAAATCCTTTAAAAAAATCTTTTTATCTTTCAAATATGTCTTTATAATTCTGTGAAACTCTCTATAATCAACAAAACCCTCACTCCATCGATACCCTCTGTGCTTTTCAATCCAGCCAATTTGTTTTTTCTCTTCAAGAGATGGTGAAGTGAATGGGTAAGGAGGTTTAATTAGGAATATATTGGTGTACTCTAAGGTGGCTATAACAAACTCCTTTAGGTACTATAAATTCATTTTTGCTATTTTTGAAGCCTTGAAGATCGACGATTATTGTATTGCTATTCATGATATTTTCTTAACGATATTAACTCAGTGGTTTCTATTCGAATATACAGTCGTTTAATATCAATCAATAAGCGGTTGTCTGATCTGGTATTTCTTGATCTGTTTCGATTTCAACTCTCACATCGATCGAACCTTTTAAAGTTTCGTGTTGTCTTGAACAATCAATTACAAATAATGGAGCCACGTCTCTGAACTCCTTTAAACCTATCAACGACTCTGACCGGCGTCCATGATACGACTGTTGAAATCTCGCATACTGATCGTATAATAAAGTAAACTTATCTTCTGAAAAACTAACATTCAGCCCCTCATAAGGATAATATGATGAATTTAATAAGACTCTTACATCTCGTACGTGACAATGATCAAACTCTGCCATTGATAATTTCACGTTATGTTTGCGGTTAGTTTGTAAGGCAATGACCGCAAATCGTGTTTTCTCTATTTGCGACGAAGTTTTTATAGGCCAAGTATGTTTACGTGTTTTGGGTAGCTATGGATACTCATATAAGTCCCAGGAACGGAATGCCAATGGAATAGCTCTATCTTTCTCTAAATGTTTTAATAGGCTGATTCTTTCATGATCTGATACTTTGATGTGTGGAACTCGCCAAACAATTTTATTTATTATAATATCTTCTACAACTTCACCTGTATTTAACTTGATCGCATTAAGATTTGTATTGCTTCGTAATAATACTAACTCATGTTCACAATTAATTATAATTTTTTCATAATCTTCTGCAAATCCTAATATCTTGTTCAATGGTATAGACGCGGAAAACGCTCCACCACTAGTATTGCTTGTTCCGCCAGTTGACCAGCGCCAAACTCGAGCACATTTGGATACATTTTCATTTAAAGATAGGTAAGATTTTATTCTAGTAGCGACACCAGCATTCTTAATATTATCTATTTCTACTCCATTAAGTTCATATCGTATGTCTTGAAAAAAGAAATAGCACGGGATTATTGACAAAATGACTACGTTTGGTACCTTTTCTTATGTGGTGCTGTTATAAACGTTCACCTTTCCCTCGATATATAAACTACTGAGTGAAGGTAGTACTTACAGGTCTTGCTGACTAATAGGAATACGTATTTCGTCATTCTTATTAAAACTAGTAACATATGGTTTGTATGAATGATACTCAAAACTTTTAATGCCGTTATCGTATTGTTACGAGCTTGAGGTTCGTGACAATAAAAATTGCCGATAGAATTACCTAAATTAACACTTTAATTCACTTTACACTAATTAAAGTTAAAAACACTAATAATTAATCACACTGATTCACTTTATTCCGCTCCGAAGCTTCGCTTGTCTCGCCAACTTCAATACTTCCCTGATCGCATCTTGCAGCGCCTATTTATATAAATTAGCAGCGAAATATCCAGAATATTCAAGTAAACACGCGCAAGGTACCGAGAGTTCGAGTTTCAACTTCAAGAAGTTTAGTTCTTCGGTTCGAGACTAGATGACACTCTGTCATAGGCCTTTTCCAAGTCCATGAACGCACAAAAAACCTTTTGGTTTTTGGCCAGAAACTTCTCCGCGATCATGCGCATGGAAAAGACTTGATCTGTACATCCCATTCCCTTTCTAAATCCCGCTTGCACATCCCAAATTTTTCCATCAGTTTCTTTCATGACCCTTTCAATCAGTACCTTAGCATACAGTTTTCCCACAATGCTAAGAAGGCTGATGCTACGGTAGTTTTTACAGTCCTGCTGCGACCCTTAATATTATTTTTTAGATAATCACAAATATCTTGAAGCTCGTAAGACCCTTCAGTAATTTCGATCATTTCTTTTTCACCATAATAAAATTTATTGTTTCTTTCATCTATATTGGGAATAGAATTGAAAATTGAAAAATACAAAAGGCCACATTCATAGTCTCCTCGTAGTTCTATTATCGGTGAATATTTCGTTGATAAAGAGGCTCCTGTCCCAGTTATAGACACAGTGAAAGACATTTTTATACTGATACGTTTATTTACTTCACACACTATATAAATGCTTTTTCCAGTAATTCCTCAAAAATTTTAGACAAAGATGTTCACAGTTTGTAGCACCAAACGCATGATGTCGCGCATAATTATAGTTACTAGGTAAGTTATGCATATATTTAACTAATTCTAACGGGGGCTTTAAGGACGCGTTTGCAAATCAACCAAAATTAGGGTGTTTTTCGGTAGATTTTGTGACAAAACTAAACATACATAAACACTCACGTTTATTATATGTATTATTATATTGTATGTATTTATTATATGTTTATTATATGTATGTATAGTTTCGGTACATGTTTTGGTATTATCAACATATTTAAAAAATTTAAAAAATACTATAAGATGACAGACATATTCAATTAAAAAAACCCTGTGTTTATTTTTTATCAAAATGTCACAAATAGTCGTAGAAAAAATAAAAACATATTTTTTCACATATTTTGCTAATACGGATGAATCATAATCTATTGCAATAAGGGCTATTTTATTGTTGGTGCCTGCTTTGATTTATTGTACAAAGATTTCGATGAAACCACAGTCCGCGCTCGGCCGCCGTCGTGAGTGGACACTGTATCGCCTATTTACAGCGGCTCATTCTGAAAAGATCGCTGTACATACACAAAATATTAGAAAAAAACAAATTGGAAACATAAGTACTTGACAAGTGATAAAATTATTATTTTTATACTCACAGTTTTTTATTTAGCTAAAAATAAGTAGGATATATAAACTTACCTCTGGACTTGATAGAGTGACCTGAAGGTAACTACTACTGCAACTCCTGGACGAGCGGAATAGGTGTGCCGAGTTTGGGCTCGTTTTGTTGGTTATGATGAGACCTTACCTCCGGACTTGATGGTGTGACCTGAAGGTGTACTTTCGTGACCGCTATTTGAACTTCTTACAGAGTAAAACTAGATGTGCCGAGTTTGGGTTTATTTTGTTAGTTATGATGAGACCTTACCACCGGACTTGATTGAGTGACCTGAAGGTGTAATCAGGTGGTTACAACTGGAACTCCTAGACTAGTCGATCTAGGTGTGACGAGTTTGGGTTCATTTTGTTAGTTATGATGCAACCTTACCACCGGACTTGATGAAGTGACCTGAAGGTGTAATTCAGTGATTAAACTGGAACTCCTAGACTAGTGGAACTGGGTGTGCCGGGTTTGGGTTCGTTTTGTTAGTTACGATTAGACCTTAAACATTTTTCCAGATTCTGAGGTAAGCAAATCTTATTTCATTTTAATAGTTTGAGTTACCATTCACATGATGAAAAGTTAGTTTCTATTTGATTGGATGTTGCGAATAAATTATCAGTCATAGGTTAATTTTTTTTATGAAAACGTATTTAATTATATTCTTAGAGGATCGATGTGATTGATACAATTGTTAGTGAATTGCACTAAGTCATGTTATGAGCATCGTATAAAATATATTTATGCGGTAAAAGTAAAGTTACAGCCTATATACGTCCCACTGCTGGGCACAGGCCTCCTCTCATTTCTGAGAGGGTTTTAGAGCAAGGAAATGTCCGCCGCGCTGCCCCAGTGCGTGTTGGCGAACTTCACATATCTTCGAAATATTTTTTTTCTTATTTCTCAGACATGCAGGTTTCCTCACGATGTTTTCCTTCACCGCCAAGCACGTGGTAAAACAATTAACAAAATACTTAAAATTACAATTAACAATTTCATTGGTGCCGGCGGGAATCGAATCCGGTTTGCTCGCGTATTGTGAAATTTACAGCGAGCGCTAACCATCTGAGCTACCACGGCTACCACGGCTATATTTATGCGGGGTAAGAGGGAATTTAAGTATTATTCATTGCTTATCAGTATGCTTTTGTTTAAATAGTATTTTTATTGTTTCCAGGAATATTATTCTGAACCTATCCGAGCGAGGATTTTAAAAAGCTACTTATCATACCGAACAGATTCGGGATATATGCACCGGAGCGAGCCTTCTAAGCGAGGAGAATATTACATCGAAGTGCGCATCTCTAACTCCGCGAGCTGGAGGCTATTCCATCAGCTGACCGATGGCAGCGCTCTCTAATCAGCTTTAAATCAGTTGTTGATGAGAAAACTCCAACGTGGAAGGCTGTTACCCAGTTGGTATCATGCATCAAAGAAGATTTACGCTCGTCCAGTTTTGTATCCAACTAAGGGTTAGTTTAATTGTTTAATCAGTGTTACTTACCTACGTGTTGATGCTTTCAGATAAAATCGTAATAAAAACAAAAAAAAATTAAATTCAAATTCAGATAAAAATCGAAATAAAAGACCACAAAACTAAAAGTCTAAATCTGAACTGTATTTTATTATAATAAACTGATCTATATTTTAGTGTAGTAATATAACAAGTGTTTTATCATTTATTTTTAGAAATGTTTGGTACCCGGCTTAATACTTTTAATAACATAAACATAAAATCAAAATAAAGCTATAAAACTAAAATTCAAAGTCTAACAACCAAAAAACTATATTGTATTATAATAAACTGATCTGTATTCACAATAATAATAATTTAAAAAAAATGTTTTTCTGCAAGCTCTGTGGCGTGCATGTTAAACGTTATTCCGCTCACCAAAAGTCCTATATTCACAAGTCCAACTGCTTACTGCAATGTGCTAATTGCATGTGCTTTCAAGAACAGAATTGTCACTTACAGAATTAGTCCTGAAAAATTAACTATTTCACCTGAAATTTTCTTATCTGATATTTCACACACATCTCTTCAACTAATTAAACAAATGTTGAAGAAACATACAGCATTAAAAATTAATTTTGAACTGTTTGTTACATATACTTTACCCAATAATAATAAACCATCTATTAAATCTTTTAATACTAAATATGAAATTATATACCAACACTGATCTATCGTCTGTTTACAACAGTTTTGCAGAAAAAATAACGAAAAAGTGTTCACAATTCGAGCTTTGTGAATCAGGTTGGACTATTGAGGCAATAAGACACTTAGAATTAAATATTGTAAAATATAATCCGTTAAGATTTGGTTCGTATATACCATTACCTGAAAAAATACGTAATACAAAATCATGCTTAAATTTAAAAAACAATGATAAACACTGCTTTCTTTCGAGTATTTTAGCTCATTTATATCTAACTACAAGTAATCCTAATAGAGTGAATTCATACCCTCATTACTCAGAGTTTTAATAACAGATAATATTTATTTTTAATATATTTATTATTAATATTTTTTACGTGGTAGAGCCATGCTGCAGTTATATTAGTAGTATAGTTGTAGCACGAATGGGTCGGCTCGACCGGGGAAGGACCACGCTCTCACAGAATACCAGCGTGAAATACTCGTAGTAGCTCGATGCTGCTGTATTTCGTATGGTGAGTGTAGAGAACCGGAGATCCTTTTTACTGGAAACGAGGACATTCCATCTTAGTCCTCACGGATGACAACGCATCTGCATATTGATTCGTAATCGAGGATAGATGTAGATGTCTATGGGCCACAGCAACCACTTACCATCAAGTGGACTGTGTGCTCGTTTGTCACCCTATCCTATAAAAAAAATATGTTATTTCCTCGAAGTTTTAATGATATTAAATTATTCGAGGAAATGAATCCTAATGTGAGCGTTAATATTTACGGCTTAGATAAAAAAAATAATGTATAAAACTTTAAAAAGAAAAATAAAGCCGCTGTATAAAACTTTAAAAAGAAAGATAAAGCATGTTAACTTACTTTACTTAAATAAAAATAATAAATATCATTTTTGTTTGATAAAAAGTTTGATAAACTCGTACACAAGCAATTAACTAAGCATAAATCTAAAATACATTTATGTGAGGAATGTTTTTAATATTTTAACACTGCAGAAAAACTTTTAAATCATGATTGTGCGATGATCCAAACCATTTTACCGGAAGAAAATACTAAACTTTATTTTTCAAACTATGAAAAGACGACTTTGAGAGTTTATTAGATGAGTATTCAGACAAAAACAAAACAACGTATGTGGAAAATATTCAAATCCATGAGGCTAGTTGTTTTGCATATTATATATTTTGTGATTCTAAGCCCGAACTCAATAAATTATTTATTATATTTTATTATTATTAATTAATATTTAGTAATACAGATATCATAGTTGTAGATCATGATCACTTTACTGGAAAATACAGAGGACCTGCTCATAACGAATGTAATTTAAAACCTAAGGCATGCTCATTCATACATATTATAATATTTCACAACCTTTCTGGTTATGATTGCCATTTATTAATAAAGGAACTCTCCATTCCAGCCATTTGTGGTCGTATAAATCTAATACGTGAAATAAAGAAAACTTTATTTCATTTACTAAGTTTATTCCAATAGAAAATAATAATAATAATAATAAGCCGTCATGATGGCGTTTGCTGGGACAAATGTTAGTTTGTCCCAGCCGGATATAATGCAAAAACTGACGGAGCGCATAGACGACCTGAAGCAGAGAATCGCTGCTTGGGGAAAGCGAATTCGGCGATATACCGAGAGGTCGACACGGTTCAACCAGAATCGTCTCTTCCAGAGTGATCAGAAGAGGCTCTATAAATCATTGGAGCGACCAATGGTAAGTGGAACGGGCCCAGTACCGAATCAGGCCGACACGGTCGCATTCTGGCGCAGCCTGTGGTCAGAGCCCGTAAACCACAACGAGGGCCCTTGGACGGAAGTTGTGGCGAGTCAGTGTGCGGGTATTACGCCCATGGACCCCGTCACCATAACGCCGGATGACGTAGCTGAGGCGGTCCGTAGGGCCCCGAACTGGAAAAGTCCGGGACTCGACGGGCTGCATCACTACTGGCTGAAGGGGTTCGTGGTGTGTCACACTGTGCTCGCCCGACAGTTTCAAGAGGTTCTCAACCAGAAGTCGCTCCCGAGCCTCTTCACTACTGGGATCACCCATTTGGTTCCTAAAGGCCAGAGTACCACAGACCCGAGCAAATACCGCCCCATCACATGTCTACCGACCATATATAAGACACTAACATCCATTTTGAGCGCGAGAATCACTCGTCACCTGGACTCAAATCAGGTGATGTCGCGCGCTCAAAATGGATGTCGGGGCGGCGGTCGTGGAACCAAGGAACCACTCCTCATTGACGCGGTCATTGGCAAAGTGGTGAAACGCAACCGTCGGAACTTCTCCGCCGCCTGGATAGACTACAGAAAGGCATTCGACTCGGTGCCCCATACATGGCTAAAGAGAGTCCTCGAACTGTACAAGATAGACTGTACAGTTAGAGACTTCCTCGAGCAGTGTACGGGGCAGTGAAGTACGATCCTTTGTCATCTGGGCGAGCGGATGATGGCTGCGGAGAACCACATAAGGATAAGAAGGGGTATCTTCCAGGGCGATTGTCTGAGTCCAATATGGTTCTGCCTCTCTCTGAACCCTCTCAGTACCTTACTGGAGGGCTCCGGGAGGGGATTTCAGCTACGGAAAGGAGGGACAAAAGTGACCCACCTTTTCTATATGGATGACCTCAAGTTATTCGCCTCCAGTCGCTCCCATCTTATGGAACTGCTAAACATCACTTGTGAATTTAGCAATTCCATTGGAATGGAGCTGGGGACGGATAAGTGTGCGGTCCTCCATGTTGAGAGGGGTAGGGTTGCTAACTCTGAGGGCATAGACTTATCTATGCCCGTCAACTTAAGGACCCTTTCCGAGGCTGAAACATACCGATACCTGGGTATGTCACAGAACATTGGTATCGATGAGGCTGGTATGAAACAGTCAGTTTGCGACGTGTTTTATGCACGCTTGACCAAAGTGCTTAACAGCCTTTTGTCCAGTGTGAATAAGACACAAGCATATAACGGCTGGGTCATACCTGTCCTCATGTATACCTTTGGCATACTCAGGTGGACTCAGACTGAACTTAACGCCCTGGATAGAAAAGTCCGCACTACCATGACGTCCCACAGGATGCATCATCCGAGATCGTCGGTAATGAGGCTGTACTTGCCGCGAAAGCATGGTGGGCGTGGCTTCTTGAGCGCGCTCACCATGCATAATCGCGAAGTGTGCAGCCTCCGTAATTACTTCCTGGCGAGATCGGATGATCCATTCTATAAGGACGTCATTTCTTGTGATAAAGGACTTACCCCTCTATCCTTAGCCAACGAGCAATGGCAAGACCCGGCAGTGCAGACAATTTCCGACCGGGAGACCGTATGGAAGGAGAAGGAGCTCCACGGGAGGTTCTACAAGTCTCTACATGGGCCTTTCGTAGACACAGTAACCTCTCTCCACTGGCTACGCTTTGGTGACCTCTTCGGGGGAAACCGAGGGTTTTGTCTGTGCAATACAGGATCAGGTTATTAAGACCAACAACTATCGGAGTTACATCCTAAAGGATGGCACCATCGACATCTGTCGAGCTTGTCGCCATCCCGGTGAGTCACTTAGGCATGTCATCTCCGGTTGTTCGGCGCTTTCTAACTCTGAGTACTTGCACAGGCACAACCTAGTAGCCAGAATTCTACACCAGGAGCTCGCTCTGAAATACGGTTTCGTGGATCGGAAGTCGCCGTATTACAAGTACTTGCCGGAAGCCGTGCTCGAAAATGATCGCGCCAGGCTCTATTGGGACCGGGCCATCATCACAGACAGGACTATTTTTGCGAATAAGCCTGATATTGTGCTGATGGACCGGGCACAGTCAAGGATATTTTTGGTCGACATTACCATTCCGTGTGACGAGAACCTCGTGAAAGCCGAAACAGATAAGCAAACAAAATATCTGGACCTGGCTCACGAGGTGACCGACATGTGGGGTGGTCTGCCGACCGAAATTATTCCTGTAGTCGTCTCTGCAAACGGGCTAATCCCAGTCAGCCTCTCGGGTCATCTGAGGCGGCTGGGACTACGTGGCGGACCGCTCCAGGCTCAAATGCAGAAGGCGGTGCTCCTCGATACCGCCCGCATCGTCCGCCGGTTTCTTTCCCTTTCCCCCTAACCCTCGGCCGTTTGGTCTCCCCTGCCGAGGGCTTCCATCTGGTTGGGCTTTTATTTATTTATGTATTTTCATATTTATTTTATTTTATTGATATTTTTGTATGTTTATCTTTTCATTTTCGTTTATAATTATATATTTATACATCCCAACCAGATGAGAAAACTATATAGATACCCCACACATAATAATAATAATAAGAACTCAGTTCAGTTGAAATTTATTGACTCTTTCAACTTTTTGAGCTCGAGCTCTAAATTATCTAAATTATCTAATTTAGGTAAAACGATGGAAGCGAAAGATTTTAAAAATTTACGTAAGTTTTTTGAAGATAAAAATTTATTTAATTTAGTTCGAAAGAAAGGTATCTACTGTTATGACTATATAGATTCATGGGATCGATATGAAGAAAATCAATTACCAGAGCAATCGAAATTTTTCAATCACCTTACATCTCATACTGTTTCAGATGAAGATTACAGTCATGCATTGAAGATATGGAATGATTTTAAAATCCGTAACTTAGGTGAATACACCGATTTATATTTAAAATGTGACGTATTACTGTTGTGTGATGTTTTTGAAAAATTCCGAGCTATGAGTTTAAAACAGTATAGTCTTGACCCATGCTACTATGTCTCATCCCCATCATTAAGTTGGGATGCTATGTTGTTTCATACGAACACACAATTAGATTTACTTTCAGATATTGAAATGTACCAATTTTTAGAGAAAGGAATTCGCGATAGTCTTGCTCAATGTTCTCTAAGATATGCAAAAGCAAACAATAAATACATGTCCTATTATGACAGCAAAGATGAAAATAATTTTTTAGTTTATCTTGATTGTGTAAATTTATATGGTTTTGCTATGATGCAAAAGTTACGAACGGGGAACTTTAAATTTCTAAGTGAAAAAGAAATTAATTAATTTGATGTGATGAGTGTTCCTGATGATAGTAATATTGGATATATTCTTGAAGTAGACTTGCACTATCCAATTGAAATTCATGATGATCATTCAGATTTACCATTTGCAGCAGAAAAGTTTACTCCGCCAGGAAGCAAACGTAAAAAATTAATAGTTAGTTTGTACGATAAATGTAAATATTACTCATTTTGCTCAAAGTTTATAGGATTTTGTCATTTAGTCAAAATGCATTTTTAGCACCATATATTTTATTAAATACAACACTTAGACAAAACGCTGCTTCAGACTTTGAAAGAGATTTTATTAAAAAACAAAACAATTCTATTTTTGGAAAGACAATAGAGAATAAACGAAAACATGTCGATGTGAAATTGGTTAATGTATGGAAAGATACATCCAATAAGACTAATAAACTATGTGGAGCTGAAAAATATGTAAGTGTTCCTAATTTTAAAAATTTATCAATAATTTCATATTCATTAGTAGCAATCCAGTTAGAACTAACAAAAGTTATCCTTGATCGCCCAATTTACATTGGGTTTTCAATTCTGGATTTAGCTGTCATTTATATCATTTTCAGTACTCTATAATGAAACGCATGTATAAAAATTCGCTGCAACTCTGTTATACTGATACTATCAGTATAACAGAGTTGTCAGTCTGCTGTGTCTAATAAATCCAAATGATTTTTATGAAAACATGAAAAAAATATAAAATATTTTGATACAAGTAATTTCAAAAACGATCAGTATGATATGCCCAAAGTAAATTGTAAACTTCCAGGGTTTTTCAAAGACGAAATGGGTGCTGATATAATAACTGAATTTGTTGGATTAAGAGCGAAATTATATTGTATTGATTCTAAAACAACCTCAATAAGGAAAACTAAGGATATTAAAAAAACTGTTAATAAAAATCTTAATATTGAAAAATATAAACGAGCGTTATGGTCTAATGAAAACTTTAGAAAGAGTATGTGTATGATTAGATCAAAGAATCATTAAATATTTACTCAAAAACTTGATAAACTTGTACTTAATAGAGATGATGACAAGAGACAAATTATGGCAGATGGCTACAATACGTTACCGTGGGGACACTACAAAACTATATTTTAATAAATTTGAATATAAAACTATGTAATGCTACTACTATGTACTGTATAAGTAAATAAGAGATAAATGTATAGCTTAAGTTACATGTATTATCATGTTTACAAATTTATATTAATTTAAAATAAATAAATATTTAGTTTTAATAAATACATTCGTTGTATAAAAATGAATAGATCTGGATGTCTTTTTAATTATTTAATCAATTTTAACAAAGCAGACTTCGTCACTTATTCAGTCTAATGCCGCCATATTGCCTCGCTAATTCCCTAGTACAATAACATTTAAAATATAAATACTTTTTTTTTATTTGAGTGACTAATTATATGAATATAATTACTTGTAAAATATTTATTATTAGTAAACAAGTTATTTTTATAATTATTAAATGTTAGGAATTAAAATTGAGTCTCAACTATTTTTATACAGGAAATAGCATAATGTATATGATAAAAGAATATCCCAAAAATGAGCATTAATCGTTTAGAAACTTGTCATACAAAGAAACATTTATACTTAGTAATCCTAACAATACTTAATAATCTAACAATCGGCCATTCTGATTTTCCTGCCTGTCCTAAGGCAGTCTGACATCATGTTATGTGAGTTTTTACACTTTTTTTTAATAAATTTTAAATACAATATGAATTTTCATTTAAACTATCTGAGAAAATATGTTTAATATACATGTTCTCGCCATAATACAATTGGCAATTAATCCGAATAAAAATAAAATAAATTCATCTGCTAAGAAAAAAAATTACTTGTTATTACTACCAAATAAACTGTCAATTCGGCCATCCTAACTTATTAAT